TTTTTTTTTTTTTTTTTTTTTTTATTCCTTCTATTTCATGATGATGCACAGAATAAATCCCAAATAACACCCAAGAAACTAGAACATTTTATAAATTAACACAACTACTATCTATTATTTTCAGTTAAAAAAAAAAAAACTACTTTGCATTTTCTGAAAAAAGTTTTATTTATTTTTAATATAGTTTTACGTGTATCGATATCCCACGTAACATGTTGTGCTTTTAATGCAAAAGAGAAAGTCTCCAAAATACAAAAAGCTTAAAGGATTGATAAAGGCTATAAGAAACGGTGACTGATGATGTAAGATTCTCTCTCTCTCTAGGGTCAAAAAAGTTTTAACCCCCAGTTCTTCCTTCGTACAGTCTTTTTCTTCTGCTCTTATGCGCGCGTGAGAGTACAGTCTTAAAATAAAATAAAATCAAAAATCAAAATCTTTGCTACATATCTTTTGGCTGTATCCGTATATATGTTGTTTCTTCCTATCAGAAACTCAGATTTGTTTTTCAATGGTGGAAGAAGACAAGTGATGGTTCTGTCTCTTGGAGTTTAGTTTTTTATGATTCATACATCTGAAGGGGACTACAATCACATCTCTTGTTTCTTTCTCTGTCTCTAAGCCCAAATTTCATTTTCACTTCTTCTTGCTTTTGAGATCAGTTTAAAGTGAGTCTAAGTTCAGATTTCTTACATTTTTCTTGATTTTTTAAAACTTCTATGTTTCAATTAATCAATGATCTTTTTTTCTTTTTCTTTTGGTCACAGTTTGATTCTTTTGGAGATGGGATTTGAAGACAAGAAAATGCAGAGTAAGAGGCACAATCGTTCCAAGAGGTTTGTCACTTTAGCTCTGTTCTCAAATTCAACAACTTGGGTAGTTAAAATATGCCCAGATGCAAAGTAATCTTGCTGTTTGATGTGTCAAAGTTTGAGTCTTTGTTAAAGAATCTATGTTTAGGACTAAAAAGGTTTAAACTTTAAGCTGAATCTTTGTTTAATTTTTTCTGGGTTTCAACTGTTTTTGATTTGGTTCTTGGAATCTTGATTACTTTATTATTAGCTGGACTGTTCCTGAAAAGAAAAAGCTTGAAGAAGACAATAATAATAACACTGTTCCTTCTCTGAATTCTTCTCAACGCTTCAAGCTGGTGAGTTCAAACCAACAGTAACTACCTTTTTTTCATTTATGATTTTGCAAAGCTATAGAACTAGAACACTATTTAACTGTTCCTTCCTCAGGACTTACCTCGTTGCTGTGATAAATCTGTTGAAACGAAGAAGGAAGTTAAAGTTCAGAGCTCTCTTAAGCAAGAGGTTTGCATTTTAAAATTCTTTTTTTAGCTCTCAAGTATGTTTTGTTTTCCTTACCATCTTTGGTTGCATCCAGATTCAAGAGCTTGAGAAGAGACTACAGAACCAGTTTGATGTCCGTGGCGCTTTAGAGAAGGCATTAGGCTATAAAACACCTTCTAGAGACATCAACTCCAAGGCCAACTCTACTCCAAAGGTAAACTTAATTGGTTTCTTGGCGAATAAACCGTTAATGTTGTTATGCAGCTCACTAATGGTTTTTGTATATCTTGCAGCCTGCAACAGAACTGATCAAGGAAATCGCAGTGCTAGAGTTGGAAGTTTCACATTTGGAACAGTATCTTCTAACTTTGTACCGTAAAGCGTTTGATCAACAATCATCTTCTGTATCACCAAAACAACAGACTCCTAGTTCACCCAAGTCCACTCTCAGAGGGAAACGTCTTGACTTCTCAACAGCACCTGAACCTCGGTGTATCTCCTTTGACCACAGACTTAAGAAGAGCCCATGTTTGGTCAAGAAGGAACCAGATTCTCCTAGCCTTAGCTGCAGACAAGATAACTTAGCCATGGAACCTAGGTGTTTCTCCTTTGACAGTAGACTAAAGGAACCTGGTTCTGCTGCTAAGAAACCCAACTCAACAGTAGAATCTCAGTGCTTCTCCTTTGACAACAGACTCATGCAACCTGGTTCTGACGCTAGAAAACTCATTCAAGAAAGCTCAACAATCGATTCACGGTGTTTCTCCTTCGACAATAGGCTGAAAGATCAGTCCCTTTACGAGGAAGAGGACAATGATTCATGTGTTCGCCGTTGCCAGTCTACTCTTAACCAACGCTCCACCTTCAACAACCGAATATCTCCACCAGAAGTAAGTATCACTCTTTTATTATTACATCATTGGAGTTAAGCAAAGAGTGTAGCTTATACTCACATTTGAATGATGCAACAGTACATACACAATGGGTCAAACACTGCAAGCCTTGCAGAACACATGGGGACAAAGATATCAGATCACATATTCATGACACCAAACAAGTTATCAGAGGAAATGGTAAAGTGTGCATCAGCTATATACTCCAAGCTCGCAGACCCTCCATCGATAAACCACGGTTTCTCATCACCAAGCTCATCTCCATCTTCAGCAAGCGAGTTTTCGCCTCAAGAACAGTATGATATGTGGAGTCCAAGCTTCAGGAAAAACTCTGCTTTTGATGATCAATTCGAGTTCAGTGGACCTTATAGCTCAATGATTGAAGTATCACACATTCATAGAAACCATAGGAGAGGACGTGACCTTGACTTGATGAATAGAAACTTCAGGTTAGCATAGCAGCTATCAGAGTGTTTCCTCTTGTTCTTTCACTCAGAATGTACTCATTGGTTTATTAAACTTATGCAGCTTGATGATCAAGCAGCTGGAGAGTGTTGATCCGAGAAACCTGACTCATCAAGAGAAACTAGCATTTTGGATTAACATACATAACGCACTTGTGATGCACGTACGTGGCTTTATCTCTGTGGTTGGTTCTTTGATCTTATCTATGGTTTTGTTGTACTTATACTTGGTTTTCACCATTACAGACATTTCTGGCAAATGGGATTCCACAGAACAACGGGAAGCGGTTTTTACTGCTCTCCAAGGTAAATTTTATCAACACACTTTTCTTGGTCTCCTTCAAGAAGATGAATTAGAAAAACAAAAATTACATCTTGTAATCTGCTTAACGTCTTCCAGCAAGCTTACAACATAGGAGGCCGCATGGTAAGTGTAGAAGCGATACAAAGTTATATTCTTCGCATTAGGATGCCTCGTCCTGGCCAGGTAAGACTCACTTCTCGAGTATATCACAGCTACAGATTTTCACTGTGACTGTGTTCTTAAGTTTTCTAGCTTTTATTTGTAGTGGCTGAAGTTATTACTCATTCCAAGGAAGTTCAGAACGGGAGATGAGCATCAAGAATACTCCCTCGACCATTCCGAGCCTCTCTTATACTTTGCTCTTTGTTCAGGCAACCATTCAGATCCAGCGGTAAGTAGAGAAAGCTTAAACTTTCTGCTGTCTTGTTTGAAGTGTTAGAGATCTTGAATGTGTTTTCTTTGGCTGTAGATTCGTGTTTATACCCCCAAGGGAATATACCAAGAGCTAGAAACCGCGAAAGAGGAGTATGTTCGTGCAACGTTTGGGGTAAAGAAAGACCAGAAGCTAGTCTTACCAAAGATCATTGAGTCTTTTAGCAAAGACTCAGGTTTGAGTCAAGCTGCATTGATGGAGATGATTCAAGAATGTCTCCCAGAGACAATGAAGAAAAGTGTAAAGAAACTTAACTCAGGGAGGTCAAGAAAGAGCATTGTTGAGTGGACGCCACATAGTTTCGTGTTTCGGTATTTGATAGCCAGAGAACTTGTTAGATGAATCTATTTCTTTGTAATGTTATTGGTGAAGTGTATAGATGTATTTATGTGTGTGTAGAGGGTAGAAATAGAGTGGAAAAACTGCATGCCGTTTTTTGGTTACCAATCCGGGATGATGTTTTGGCTTTGTTGTCTTTGTTTTAGAAGAATAGATGTGGGTTCTGTGTACATACTAAATCAATTCCCTTATTTTTTATATGATTTTGAGGCGTGAGTGACTTTCTTTCCTATACAAATATCTCAATTTCTCTCCATATTTAGCACTTCAAAATCATTATAGTTAAGGTTTAGAAACTACTCAAAAATGCTCCTCTATTTATATCCTTCATATTTGATATTTATATAGAACCTTTTTAAAATTAAAGTAGATAACAAAAATTTATCCATAAAATAAATGGATTAATTGAACCTATCACAAAGTGCAAAATGGTGTAGGCTATATTTGATCTTCCAATACAAGGACAAGTCTAGATTTTGGATCTTTATTATCATTTATTGATTGCTTCCTTTATTATTTATTATTTAACTTTTTCTGAATAAACACAGATTAGATTAAGAATTTCTTGATTTTTTTTTTCAAAAACATCATTAAGTTAATTTTTTTAAAAAATATATTTTTATTATTTCCTAAAGGCATTACAAACTACATAATACAAATGGTCCTAAAACATAAGTTAATAATTTTTACACTAAAAATACCAAACGTTTAAAACAGATACAAATCTCTAAAACATCAAATAATAAAAGATCAAATCCAATTTTTTTTTTTTTTATATATAACTGTCATAATTCAGCCACACAACGATAAGTCTTCAATAACAATGACTGAAAGTGAACTAATGTCATACTGAACACCATAAAAGTTAAAATATTTTTTAGTCACTCCCCATGAATCTAATGCACATTTGAAATTATTCACCATTCTTATCATATTATAAAGCATAAACAAACTCAAAAGCTATTTTAGTTGTGTGATATTATATGCAAACTTTTAATAAAAACTTTTGTGGATGGCTTTATGAACGTAAACTATTTTTCTTTTTCTTTAATTTTCTGCTCAAATTCTCTTGCTTTTTCTTTTCTTTCTTTTCATGTTGTTTCACTTGTTTGAATTTATGTTATCTAATAATACACTTTTCTCTCAAAATAATACAGTTTAAAGTGCACCATATATAAAATTAATATATATGCTACTCATTGAACGAAGACTAGAAGAGTCATGTAGTTTTTTTTGGTTAAAAAGTAAAATTAAAATATTTCCCCGATTTATATTCTTCATGTTTGATCTTTATATACAATCCTTTATTGATTAAAGTAAATAATAATTTTTTATCCATAAAATAAACGTATTAATTGAACTGCTGTAGGCTATATTATAGATTGAAATTTGATTTGAATCAAAACTTTTGCTACTCACATGTGACATGTCCGTCCAATCAACAAGTCTAAGATTTAATTTAGTCATTTTTTTTATCAAGGGTTTAATTTAGTCACATTTAAGAGCATCAGTAATGGAAAGTTCCATCTTATTTCTGTTTTTTTTTGTTCATCACTCTATTTCTCACTCTATTTTGCAGAAAATTATGGAGTGGATTAAAAATGCTCTAAGTCATCAATATACGTTAGTTATGTGATATTTTTAATATTATAGTTATTTAAGAACATGAAAACGATTCGGATAATGATAAGAGATAAAAATGACAAATCATATGGGAGAAATTTGTCATTTTGGTCAAAATACCTTTTATTTAGCCTAAATGTAGTTATTTCGTATTAAAATCCAACTCTTTATTGATATTTTTCAAATATGACTTAAAATTTAATTTAAAATGTAAAAGTAGACCCTATATCCAATCAAATATTGCAAAATTAACCTAAATAAAGAGTAAACTTACCATATACTTCTTTTGGTCAAACAAACAACTAAGAAGCTGTTTTAGTATTTTAATTTTTCTGAAGCCTACTTTTAATAAAAAATCTACTTCATAACTTAATATAATAATTTCTTTTAACTATGTAAAATAGTTTTTATTTTAAATAATAAAAACATCAATATATGAATAAATATGAAGTATATAAACCAAAATTTGATACAATTAAATTTTTTGAAAAAGATAGATTAGTTTGCTAACCATATTTAAGGTTTGTGATTTGAGGATTATTAAACTAAAAAATAAGTCTACTTGAATTATGGAATTGTAGACTGAAAAGTAGTCTAGTTGAATTATGAAATTGTAGAGTAAAAAAGAATCTACTTGAATTATGGAATCTAACAATATTAAAAGTAGGATATCAAGTCCTCTAAACGTGTAAAAAAGTTCAACCAGTGATATAATGCCATGTAAGCTATCTTAAAACAATACTCATTTTACGTATGATCTACACGAATGAGCTCTAAAACCACTCAATTTCGTTACATAATATAATATCTGGCCGAGTTGTATATTTTTGGTCCAACTTGCTGGGCTCAGAATCCCTAAAAAAATGTATATCGTCTTCTTCCCCTTTCACCTCCTCCAAACCTCCTTAGTAACGTAGAGTACCATTTTCATTATGCATAAAGCCCCACGATTTAATTCCACAATTAATGGCCAATCAACTCTTCTGGTTTCTTTAAACTTACACCTATATATATATATACATATCTCTTCTCTAAATCCGTGAGTTTAACCTATTTCTCCATACAAAAATCATCATAGGAAGCTATGATTAACAAAATGGCGAGAACAATCGGGAAAGCAACTGCATCTCAGTTTATCAACATTGTTGCTCCTGGATTGGGAGAGTCTAATTGGGCTGGAGCTGCTTATATGATTGATATGAACAGGTACGACAATAATTGCCTAGAATGGTTATTTCCCTTAATTATGTACTCGAGTGACTAATTTGTAATCACACTGAACACAGGCTACACTGCTACAGTCATTCATGGGTTCATTCATCAAATCGTGTTGCACGATTACCAGGTTGCTACCGAAAGTTCTACTCCTATTCTGATGTTAACCACAATATAAACGTATTAGAGGTAAAACCTTTCCACATTTTTCTGAAGAACATAGTGATTTTTTGCATGATTTAATTCCAAATTTTTAGTAATCCAAAGACAGCGACCTAAGATCTCATTTATGTCTTAAACGTTTCCATATCATGTTCAAGAACATCATTAGTTTCTGCTAGATCTTATATCCGGATTTTTGGTTAGTCAAAGACAGGAAACTATGTGTTCCCATAAATGTGATTGTGACCCATTGCTTTTTCTTTTATGTAACCAAGTGCTAATTGATCTCCCACATCCACATGTAGCTTTTCCCTCAGCTCAATGTCCTCATCCATGGTATTCTTTGACAACGATGTTAGCTCCTACCATTGACTACTTATCCTGGTAAATTTATTCTACCTAATACAATTCACATTTCTTGAACGATGAAACATGTTCAAGGTTGGTGGCAAACCCACACATTGCTGTGACGGTCAATGCAACGCAGGTCACCTGATTGATTTCAAAGTGAAACGTTTCTCATGAATTCTTCGTTTATTGTAGCCCATTGTATTGAGAATTCGTCACACGAACAGATGTATGAAGAAGGGAGGAAGTTATCTCCAGCTGGTGATAACTGACGTTCAACTTATGGAAAGAGGCTTTCTAAAATGCTTTCCAGTTCAGTCTATGTAATAAAGTAGCTACGCACCAACACTCCAAAAGTTAAGGTAAAACAAGCAAGTAAAGGAAAAACTGGTACGCCTCCTATCCATAATTTTTTTGTTTAAGTTGAGTTATGTTCCACTATAAGAAAATGAACAATAATTCTTATTTTCACTCTATAATTTTGTCTACTTTGCTAGGAATAAGGTCACTTATTAAATATCTTTGAAGACATATTACAGGGAGTAATCTCTTTATCAAGTATGTAGTGTTGCAATACAAAGAAGCCATGCTACTCTTGAAGAGTGTTTTGAACTGAGTGAACTCATTTAGGCAAGCTCTGTTTTATTGGTTCCAAACGCTTAGCTAAATTCTTGAATTAATGTCTTTTGATTTTTTAAAAGTGACTTCGAGGAACACTAACATCCAGATACGGAGAGGAGGATAAGAGAGGCACAGTAAAATACGCAGGACTGTAGAGAGAGCCAGAGAGATAACATTGAGTGGTCGAGGGGAGAAACTGCAGAGCAAACAAAGAAGAGAAACACCATTGGGTCACTGAGTTATATTGAGAGGAAAAGAAGGATTGCTCATGAGATGAGTGCATGATCAAAAAAATATGGAGGAATAGACGAATAGATACTGACTCGAGAGATTCCGTTTCGTCTTGCAAGGAGAATGGTAAGGAAATTTGAATAAGACCTGACTATGTTCTTAGTTTTGGTTAACTGATTTTCTTCGCTTATGAGAATCACAGCGTTGATGCTCATTAGAGTCTATAGGAACATGCATGTGAGCAGCGAAGTGGTTCAAATCAGAGAGTCAAAATCAGAACCGAGAATTGAAACAAAAGATGATGGAATTTAAGAGGAAACAAAATAATAAGACACATCAAATAGAACAGTGAAATAATTGCTTTGGATGCAGGAAACTGATTTGTTGTGAAGAATTTACAAATGACCTTTTTTAAACTAATCACTTTATTACAATCATGTATTTTTAAGTATTTTTTGGGACTCATTCCTTAACCCTAAATGGGAAGTTGCTAGAACTGTATAAAATAATCTCTTTTATCTTTAAATTTAATAGCAAGTTGAAATCAATTGTAAATTTAGCAATTGTTTTATATAAAAACTTAAATAACGAAGATGAAAGAGTGGATAGATCATAAAAAACTAAAAAAAAAATTAACATCATTCTAAATATTTATATGATTCCAGAAATAAGTTATAACAAAAAGTGCATATTCTTACAACATATAGAGCTCCCTAAAATAGCTCCATCTAGCTTTTTTGATTGATATCTAAACCGTTAAAAAGTTTAAAATAATGAAAAGATGGGAAAAAGAAACATATGAGTTTCTTAAACCTGAGCTCCCATGATACTTTGAAAAATAGTGTGTTGGGATTTTCAGCGCATTCATCTTTTCCTTGAACTTAACGATTGCAGCTCCCGGCAACGTAACCATGACTTAAACCTTTAATTGTTAAATTCATATTAATGATAGCTTCTCTCTTTGCTTCTTTTATGAGAACTAAGCTGTGGGAGAAGTATGTAAAAGAGTGGATCCTACATGAAAAATATGCATGAGCTGAACTGAGATCCTATGCACTCCCCTTGTGAAGAATCCATCATAAACTAAGAAATGATTTTTGTCTTTCCCATTAATAGTGTCGGGAAAAATTACCGGACAATGTTTTTCAAGAGGTTAAGATGGAAACTGGGCAACTAATATTTAAAATACTTTTGTATATTAGGAAAAATATTTTCTACTAAAGCTTTGTATTTGGAGACTATTTTGAAACTTCTTTAGAACTCTTTCTGAAACATGTTTCTCTCTATCTGGCTTTGTTTTTGCTTAATTCTTGATGATTATAACGAGTGAACTAAGCACTCATACTTTTATTAGAGAAAGGTAACTGTTAGCTATATCTATAAATTCTCTTAATCCTATCTACATATTCTACACACTTCTTTTGGACTACTTAGGTTAAGGTTTGATTGTGCTATGATTAATTTTGGGCTAATGAGGAAAATCCAACAAATAGTTTATTTGACTAATTTCATTTGGTAACTAAAAGGTTTTTTTTTTTAAGGAAAATGTCTTTGACTTTTCCATGTAGATACTTATAAGGGTAATTTGATGTAATAACCATAACACGCCAAAATATGTAGTACGTAAGCATAAGAAAGAGATGGTTATGATATGATATAAAATATTTTTTTTATTGGCCAAAATGTCATTTTTTTTGCGCGTGGAAAAGAAACTAACTATAATCTTAAAATTTCCATAGCCATTACAGCTTCAGATATAATTTCCCGCTTACAATATTTGACGAAGAGCGATTGCGACCAAAGGATTTTGATAACTTCAATTTGTTGGTTCAATTGCAAGGAGGAGTTTGCTACACCGACGTCGAAAAGAAGCAGGTGCTTCGGTTGGTATCGGGAAGAAGTGGATTACACGTTTAGGGTTTCGCCAGAATAGTTAGATTCACCTAATGGACGGACCCAGATACCAGTACAATTCACTTGAGCAAGGCAACACCGACTTGTTGTTCCCTTATTAGTCGATTCCGCAAGATCCGGAGCCCATATTTCCCTGTAAATGTTGGTGGTGCTATATCCAGTCATTATTATATCTATTATTGTACTGTTTATAGTATAGGTTTATAGGTTTAATGCCGTAATGTCAGCTGGTACCTATTTCCTTTCAGGTGTTTTATGAACTGTAGTGTCACTTGACTATGGTTATACTATCGGTTAATCCTTATAGTATAGGATGTTGTCGGTTCTATATGCAGTGATTTAAGAAGATAATTACTATAATTAAACTGTTTATAGTATAGCCATATAGGTGTACTGGAAGCATATAAACCGTTAACCATTTACCATGCAGTGATTCATCTACTATAGTCGCAATTGAAGTAGATTACCTATTACTAATTTGATTATAGGCGATGCATAGATCCCTAACACTAAAATACGACTATACTATGTGTAAATGTTTATAGAATAGAACGTAATTTGTGCTACAGAGATTCGTTGATGAAGATAATTACTATCATTAACATGTTTTAGTATAGCCATATATGTTTAGTGCAAAAATATAAACGGTTTAATATACATTTTCAGTGTTAGCGTTAGTGTCACTTTACTATGACTATACCATTCGTAAATTGTAATATTTACCGTTGTGTTGCTTATATTACACTTCTTACAGATACTCACGACCAAACTTGTTATATATGGATTGCATGCAACTACTGTTAAGAAGATAATTACTATCATTACATTTTTTATAGTATAGCCATACAAGTTTACTGCCAAAATATAAACTGTTAACCATTTACCATGCAATGTTTCCTTTACTATGGTCGCATTTGAAGTAGATTACCTATTACTATTTGATTATAGGCGATGTATAGATCCCTAACACTTTAACATGACTATGCTATGTGTAAAGTATATAACGTAGTTGGTGCTACATGCATTCGTTGATGAAGATAATTAATATCATTAATCTGTTTTAAGTATAGCCACATATGTTTAGTGCGTAAATATAAACTCTTTAAGCTATATTTTCAGTGTTCTCTCTGAGTTAGTGTCACTTAACTGTGACTATACTATTGGTAAATTGTTATAGTTACATTTATGTTGCTTTTGTTACACTTCCTATAGATACTCACGACAAAACTTGTTCATATATGGTTGAAAGCAACTATTGTTGAGATATTATAGAGGAGTTCGGCTAGCCAGAGTGTTTGTTTGAGACTGGTTGTGAACCACCGCCCGGAAAAGAATTAACAATTATTTCAATTTGAGATGGATTAAGGTGATAGAAGACGTACATTCTGAGGCGCAACAGGAGATATGATGCTTGTGGAGTCGTAGTTCAGACAAATTATGCTCTACACTTTTACCTAGATATAGACTAATATTTATTTAACATTGCTATTTACTATTTCATATCTTCCTTTACCACAGTGATCAATATTCATGGTTTTTAGAATATTCGACAAACATGGTTTACCTAAAGAAGGTTGGATGTTATAGTTTCTATACTAGCTCTTGTGTACAATAGTATAGTATGTATGCCCTTCGATTACACGTTACGTTAGTACGGATACGTCCCACCAATCTGGGTGCCTCTTTCACATACAATCATAATTTTTTTCCTTTTCATCTGACCACAAACTCTGGAACCTCCCTGGATGTGTTATGAATGGAAACTTTTTTCCTTAACCACTTTGTCAGACTATTATACATCAAATATAATATACTAATTTTTGCTCCCTCGTGCCCATATATGTACTAGTTTCATATATATGTCTCATATATAGTACCGTCCAACTTTAGTTAACTTATATTTACATAAAAGTTACCTTTTAAATGCCATGGCCAATTCTGTAATTTGTGAATATTTTATCCTATACTATTTAATGGTTAAGAATAGTTAGAAAATTGCCATACATGGCATTATTGTTTGTAGACTAACACATTTATAGTACATTCCAAAAAATGGACACTAAACTCAAAACCTAAATCCTAGACCATAAACGTAAATTTTGATATTGACATTAGGGTTTCGTTGACAATGTCAATGTCTTTTCTTAAGGGTCTGAGTTTAAGATGTACGATTACGGTCTTAGATTTATGTTTATAGTCTAGGTTTAGGGTTTAGGGTTTAGGGTCTAGATTCTAGCGTTTAGGTTTAGGCTTTAGGGTTTAAAGTTCAACTTATGTCGATAATACCGACGTAATCTTTTTTTTTTTTTTGTATTTGGGCTTAGGGTATATTGTTTGGATTTAGGGTTTAGATTTAGGTTTACGGTCTGAAAACATTAACATCCAACTTTGGTTAGCTTATATTGACATAAGAGTTACCTTTCAGATGCCATGACCGATTATGTAATTTGTGTGAAATTATTTCTATATTATTTTATGGTTACTGTAGAATAGTTTGCAAATTGCCATACAATGCAGTTTGCTTACCAACAACTGGGAACATCCAACTTTGGTTAGCTTATAATGACATAAGAGTTGCCTTTCGGATGCCATGACCGATTATGTAATTTGTGTGAAATTATTTCTATACTATTTTATTGTTACTGTAGAATAGTTTGCGAATTACCATACAATGCAGTTTGCTTACCAAAAACTGGGAGTTATGTACGTTTTCAAGTTTTATTTAATGTTTCACCTACTTAGAAATAACATATTTTCATACCCGATACCATGCCACATTTTTATATCCGATGGGCTGATTCTGTTATTTTATGTTGATTTTTACTATACTATATGTAGATTATTCTATCGGCGTAAAGTTTAATATTTTTTGTACATATCCCGCTATACCATGTAAGTTATCATATAGTATAGTTCTAACAGCGTCATCCACTATGTAGTATACAAAGTGTTATATTAGCAATGTTTCACTCTCACCATTTCACGCGCACGAGAATGAAAGGAGAAAAATGTCCGTTTTGGACACTAATTCTCACATCAACTATGCTATAGTTATATTCTTTATTTCGTCATCTCCTATGAATATTTGTCAAATTCACCCATACTTATATGAAAACCATACAAAATAAATGTTGTAGAATATTATTACGATCTTGACTGTTTATTTGGAATTCGCTATGCCATATGAAAAGTAATAACATGGTTCTCATGCATATTCCCCATGGTCAGTATATCGTCCATCCATCGTTATATGAATACAATTAATTTTCTTATCACCATTGTCTTAAAATATGTAAATAAATCTTTATAGATTTTCTAATAACCATATAATGAAAAACCAAGCAGGCTAGAAAAGAGAATAAAATTTATAAAACCACAAATAAAATAGAAACTCAATATTGACCCTAAAACCAAAAACAAAATGTAAACCATTATAAAGCTAATAATATCTTATAATAAGGAATTAGATTATAACTAAGACTCAATTAGTTTTTTTTTTATTTCTATTTTGACATAGATTTTAGATGTTAGAAACAATAAAGTTTAATTTTAAATAGTTTCAACGTCATAAATTATTTTA